TGAAGAGAGAGAGAAAAAAAAAGGAGCGCGTCAAATTAGTGGGTATCGACGGCGACGACCGGTCGTACGAATGAGGTAAGTATATATATACGTAGCAACACCTTGCCTCCGATCCAAATACAAAACTCCGTGCAAACTATCCGTGTGTATATACTTGCGCTCTTGGCTGTATACACACAGAGAGCAGTCACCATCAACAACCATACAATGAATTGATACACGAGGAGGGAAAGCAGCAGTGGCACACACGTGATAGGGGGGGGGAAGAAGGTGAACAATCGTCGTGTTCTCGCGCGATATCGATTATAGCCGCCAAACAGCCGCGTCGAATTAGCTTTCTCCCTATGTATGCAGGCTTCCGTGCCAGCGTGTTGTACGTGCGTTATTACACCGCACGAAAGCACGTCCACTATCCTTTTTTTTTTTTTTTTTTTTTTTTTTTTTTTTTTTTTTTTATATATATATATATACACATATACATCCGATTCCGGCGATTTCAGGCACATATACTACACACATTACGCGTTTTACTCGCGTGACAGACTTTTTTCCTCCCCCTGTACAGCCCCCGTTCGCGTCAATGGGCCCGTGGGTAACGTTCGTATACAGTGGCTATACGGCGCGGGGCAACGAGGCTGGCTTTTACGCCCACACTGAAAGACCCAGAGTGGGTTACTTTGTACGTACACACGCGCACAATATGTGCTAGCTGCTATAAGGTATATAATATACACATAGTGGGTGTTAGTGGTGCGCATAGTTGATACCAAGTCGAGGCAAAGAACGTACATGTATACATGTATATAAACGCGGGGCTCCAAAGGGGTGCTTTGCCTCTACTTTGAAGTTAAATAATCACCGTGTAGCTTCTACTCTGAAATTCTACGTGTCCGTGCGTATGGGTGTTGCGGTGAAATTATGTTTGTTGATCAGTGTGTGAGAGTTTTGGTTGGAAAATGGGTGGAGGGGTCAGAGTGAGCGAGCGAGGGAGATAAGATTAGTCGGGGTTAAACGGGTTTGATGAGTCGGTAAATAGAGATTGACGAGAAGTTAAGTTCGTTACGCGCGGACGGGGTTTTAACCCGTTGGTGTATACGTTGTAGCGTGAATGAGTGAAATTTCAAGGCTTGCGGAGCACGTGTATTGTGCGAAGGCGCGCGATACAATGCACGCTGATGCGCGGCTCGAGTCGCGTGAGAAGTCACGCGATTGATGATTTTTCATTGTCCGTGCAAATTGCACTGTTTTGCATACATTGGACCGCTTGTGCGAGTGTGACTTTTGATCAAGTTTGTGGTTTTTTTTTTTTCAAATCAACTGTTGTATTAAAAAAATTGCAAAATCCATCGTGGCTCATTAATGAGAGCAAACGTGACACTCGTACGGCGAGGGTCAATATTTGTCATCCAAGGCACGCGCGATTAGCTTAGCTGGGTGAGCGAGAGTGTCGGGTTTACTCGAGCTAATCTTCGGTACAAGTTACAATCAGCGAGTGATCGTTGGTTAAGTAAACGTCGTTTTGTCTGATGGATACCGCGTGCCACACAAATCACATCACCAGTTATGGTTAACTGTATACATATATCGATATGTATGTGCACGGGGGCCGACTCTGCGAGCGTTTATTTGGCGTGGCACGGCTTGAAAATTGGATATGCGACGCTCGACGTGCGTCGGGGCCAACTAAAGTCTCGAGGGAGACTATAGCACGCCCGCAACAATAAGCGCATTACATTCGCTCCCTCTCTCTCTCTCTCTCCCTCTCTCTTGGGGCTTTGCTCTCTAATGCTGAGGGTGAAAACGTCTGTTTGCCGTCGAATATTATCCTTTATTTGTTTTTTCAGTGTTTTGAATACCAAGGATACAGGTATTGATTACATTTTACTCATTCGCTGGTTTTTTTTTTTTTTTTNTTTTTTTTTTTTTTTTTTTTTTTTTTTTTTTTTTTTTTTTTTTTTTTTTTTTTTTTTTATGAACTCTCGTAAATTAGTACTAATAAGTGAATTTTACAGTATGTATCCAAATACGGAGACTAAATCAACCGTGTGATATTACTGTTTGTAGCAAAGTAAGTTATGTTAGAATGGAAAAGGGAAAAAACATGTTGTTGGCATCAAATTCGATGTTTTCAATGAGAAACTTTCAATTTGGAAATGCAGTTTGATTAATAGAGACAAAAAAGGAAGTTTCAACGCAGAACCGACGATTTCATACATCACCGCCGTCATCGACGCTTATGAAGTGCCCACGACGTTCGTACCGGGGTCAAATAGAGTCTGGCCATGCGATGGAAAAATACGATTATAGTTACCCGAAAAGGAGATAGATGAACGCTCGTATTACCACTCATGTGATCAAATATAAAAAAAAAAAAAAAAAGAAAAAAGAAGGAGAAGTAAAGAAAGAGTAAAGCCGCAGAGCTATTGTAGCTAACAAGCGCCGCGCTTCCGAGGATTTGCACCCGCTAGAGACTTCCCTCCCCTTCGTCCTTCCCGCACACCCTCATTTTTATTTCCTCGACTCTAATAAGCTTAAGGGATTTTAGATCCACGACGTGCCTGGTGCGGCAGCGGCACCTTTTCCCTCTCGAAAAATGACTTGGCGAAGGATTGAGCGCTCAAATAACTTCTCCGTGAACTAGGGTGAAAGAGGAAAAAAAAAAAAAAAAATATTGAAAATAAAAACCAACACTCCCGCGTATGGGGGCTCCAAAAACTCGACGCGATTAAACGTTTTAATTGCTATTTTCGAGGGTCACCGATTGGACGGACTTTATTACGCGTCCAAAGCCTTTCTCATCCCTTTTTCGAGCCGGTCTGACAAATACACGTCAAAGGGAAGCGGATTTTTTTCCCGACAAGCGCTCACAAGGGTATAGGGATTCGGGTGAGCATACACACGGTCCAGTGTCGGGCGATGCTGCCGCGAGGATTGGTTTTATTGATTTCGGGGCGGGTGCGACGACGGCGCATCGAGGGCGCGTAGATCCTTGTAAAATGCACAATGAATAATTAAATCGGTTACGGCCGAGCCGTGAGTTTAATTAGTTTTCGAGCAAATATAATTTCCCGTTAATTTATTTGCCTTTTTTACGGGAGACCGTGTCCGTGTGCGACGGGCACGCAGCGCGCAAAGACGGCCGAGAGAGCGATTATTATACGCGTCGTTTTAATTTTGCGCAATTTATGCATGAATCATTTATAAGCCGTAATGTAAAAAAAAAAAAAAATAAATAAAAAAATAAATAAAAAGGAGAAAAAGAGGGAAAAAAGGGGTTTCGCATTAAATTATTAATCAAAGGGAAAACGTCGCGTGCAGGCCCGTCGATCGCGCGATAAAACGCGAATTCGAAATTTAATATGTGCTGAAAAATTGTTTACCCACTCGCGCGCTACATATTACATATTATGTACGCGCGTACGTGTATTATAACCTGGGATGAATTTTCTTTGAAAAATACGAATTTCATCGCGGTCTCTCTGGCAATTACCTTTTTTCCCCGTCATATAAGCGCATACGTGGTTATGAAAGATGCAAAAAAAAAAAAAAAAAAAAAATTAAATAAAAAAACATGCCGCGACGACAAAGTAAATTGGAATACCTGCCCCTCCCCTCTACGCTCCGCGTAGATTGAAAGAGCGCGTAATAAGCAGTAATTGACGATCCCATAATTATCTCCATACAAAATCAAAGTATATAACACATGCCTACCCCGCACGTACACGCGTGCACGGGTATATGTATATACGTATACCTACGTTGTATACACATCATATACACGCCTAACTGAATTTGAACAATCGAAATCAGTAACAACGACAATGTCGTGCGATTACGATTTTACGCGTATACAATCATTACGTAAACATATATGTATGTAGGTATCCTCCAAAAGTCAAATAAACGAGAGAACATAGATTAATTTGACGTTTGAGCTGTTTACCAGTGTCGGCGTAAAATGTATATAAATATACCGTATGGTGCGATCACGCGCGGCTTACCCCCTCACGAATAAAAAAGGAGGGACCCGCGTATATATACTCGCACACAAATTACGCGTATCCATGGCTTTCTGCGCGTATACTTATTAGCCGTAGTGTACGGCAGCACGTGTATAATCGATGCTCACGCACACGATACCCACACATCCACAAGTACGGGCATTGTCGTCGATGTGTGTATACAAATATAGCGGGGCACAGGCCGGGCCGGTTTTATCGCCGTTACGCACGTAATTAATTTAATTTAGCTCGATACACCGTCGCCGTGTGTATAGTGCCACACGGTCCGACGGACTGGTAATGCACTAGGTACGATAATACACCTTGTATAGGCTTTGCAGGCACCTCGATCGCCGGACTCGATTGTTTGCACGGAAACGACGCCACCAGTGCCCCATTGTACTCACTCACATTCGTAGGATACTTTTAATCCATATCAATTGTACCATTGATGATTATACACCGTCGCCATTACATATAAATAATACACGTGTATACACATCCCCACGCACTTTTGGCTCATGTGAGATTTAGGAGTGATTTCTAGGCATTCCTTGTATCCACATTCGAGTGATTAATCGTAAAAAGTGCCGATGTATGTATTTCGAAAGCTCGTGCAGCAAAATAATGTAGCGACCTCGCGGGGTAATATCGAATCAACAATGTCGAAAGGCCTTCCGTATACACGGCAGGCACGAAAGCGAGCCTCGAGCGATCCGAGTGTACACAGGTAATGTAGAAACAGGAACACAACGGCTCGCGTAACCGGATCACCTAATATCGGAATAAACGTCCGTCGTCTGTATCCAAAGTGACGGTAAAAATAATAACAAGAATCACGTGAAACGTGGATACACGTAGCTATATAAAAGAGCCTAGTGCAACAACAACAAAAAATGAGAAAAAAGCAAACCACGTCAGAATTGATTAGGAATTTGATATTCCATGGTATATCCGTCCCTGAAAATGTCCTATGGCATGAAAAAATATACAACTAACCTGCACGCGAACCTCCGGTAGATTGACCTTGAGGGCGAGCTCCTCCCGCGAATACACGTCCGGGTAGTGCGACTTCTCGAAGGCCCGTTCGAGCTCGTGCAGCTGGTACGTCGTGAAGGTCGTCCTGTTACGCCGGTGCTTCTTTTTGCTGGGCCCGTTGCTGTTGTCGTCCGCGCAATTCAGCTGCAGATCGTCGTCGCTGCCGCTTCCCGTTGGGTTGCAACTGTTTTCACCTGGTGACAGTCAAATAAATGTGTCGTTTCACAACTAATTCTTTATTTTTTTTTTTTTTTATTCTTTTTTCCTTATATCCAAACGTTTCATAAAATCCCATGAGTCGCCTTATTGAGTTTTACTTGGAGCAATGGTTTTGAATTTCCGATTGATTGCCAAGTCAACTTGCTGATAGCAATCGCTCTAACCGACAAGATAGGGGTTTATAAAAAAAAGTCCAGTAAAACGTATATTATTCAGCGTAAATGTAGGGACGGAAAATCTCTCAGAAGATTTTTTCCCGCACTGTGTCATCGATAACAAACTCGATGATCGTAGTCCTCTCGATTACTTGATAATCGAGTAGTGAGTGAACGCGATCATCGCCAAAGTGCAAAAAGCCGATATTACACGAGAGCAGCATTACACCCCCCCCCCCCCCAGAAGCACCCCTCACGGGCAAAGGCGCCGCTGTACAACAGCGTGGGCGGATAAATTCGTCCAGAGGCGGCAACGGAGCACCGACTCTGCATTATCTCTCTCTCTCTCTCGTCTGGGTTGTGTGTATATACTCTCGGCTCTCTGCCCGGAAGCCCGTGGCTGTATTCAGACTCTCATTAGCTGCATAATTAAGCTTCTCATATCGCAGGCAGCCTCCCCCGATCCTATAGTATATACATCTCGGTGCATTAGATCGAATTGTGGGAAGGTAATCGCCGGGGCCCTTCGGGGGAGCTCGATGTCTCACAGAGAGAGAGAGACGCCGTGTACGTACAATGCAGGTATTTACTCGGGGGAGTTTCGTTGGCCGGGTGTACTAAGTAACAACCTAATAACGCCCTCGACCCCCTCCCCCGCCCCCGAAACGCCTGGGAGTGATTGACGCGTCTGTAGGAGCTAATTATCAACAACAATCGATAATGGCTCTCCGAATGTCGGACTCGCGTCTGGTAGTTCCGCCGGCGCTACTGTGATGTGTGTTTATATAGGTATATCCTATATATATACCGCACACCTCCCATTGGGTCTGTGTGTTTATAATAGGTAAATGCCGGAGGATTACAAAAGGAGGGTTTCGCTGAATAAAGAAACGAATGAAACTGCTTACATTATTATATTATACTCGTTACTGTATGTACTGAATTTCATTTGTACAACGTGGATTTTTCTCTTCCGTCCCGGCTGAATGGAGGTGCTGACGGGATTTGATCAATTAGGGTGTTTCGGGGAGAATAATATGCTTCGTTTCTTCGTTGGGGAGGTCGAATGTTACTCGATTTGCAAGTGAAAAATCAACAGCTGGCCTTTGTTTGTTTAGGCGATGATGATAAATTAAAATCTTGAGAGTAGAAAATAAATTTTTTTTTTTTTTTTTTCATATTTTACGGCATCCTAACAGCATAAAGAGATCAAAGGATCACAATCTTCTGAAAACTTATATTTTTCTACTGTCATCACGTATAAGGTATAGGAAATCTCACTTTGTTGATTAAAATACATTTTAAATAAAGTGTCTCAATTGATTGTAAAAAAATTTATTGATGGCAGAAAAAAACGCCTTTCCCAATACTGCAGGTTATTTACAGGTTAGCACTGATATTGTTTACTTCTGATCGATGAACAAACCATCGCAACGTGGAAAACAGTGCTAATCTAAAACAAGAAATTTAGCCCCAGTGCTCAGTTTTTTTTGTTCCTACCCTTTGTGATATTTTATTTTCCATTCACATGTGCTTAGCGTAATAATATGCGCACACGTGTTTTCAGGCCTTAACTTCCGCTCTATTATTTCATTATTTCTAGATCAAACTTTGTGTATACCTATACTCCTACTTCGTTGTTCTTCCCGCGGCATCCTTTGTGAGTCTTCGACCCTCCGAGGGAGAAAAAAACAACTCGATATTAATCCCAATGCTCATTGTTTCGTAAGCGTCAAGTACTATTACTGCGTAAACTATAACCGGTATGTGCCTAATATAAACTGTCCTGGAGACAATTTTTTGCGTGGGATGTGATCACGAAAAATTCAATTACCATCTCTAGCGACGCGAATCGTTAACGATCCATACTTCAACCCCTTCCCGGCTGAGCGGAAAAATTAGAGTTTAATTTTTGCTGCCAAACAAATTTTACATTTTCCCGGGGGATGGATGAAAATTAATTAACGAGTTAAGGGTACACTTTTCTCCATTAAAAACGAAAATGAAATTTCAATAATGGAACTCCGACGTCATTTTCCCATGGCGTAAAAGGCATCGGTCGAACTTTTTTTTTTTTTTTTTTCTAACATACTTTTAATCGGACGCAACAGCTGTCTGTCGACATTAATTATAGCAAATGAGTTCGATAAATCAATAATCAATAGGAGTTATGCGAACGAAGGAGTATAAAAAAAAAATAGTAATGATAAATAGTCGAGCTTGACCTTTTTTTATCGATACATAAATTTTAGGACAATGTTTGCCCGTGTGTACAATGGATGGTTCTATACTTGTAAGCCGCTTGGCATGAAACTCGCCCAAAATCAACTAAGCCCAATCACCGAGAGCGACGAAAATCGCAAACACGTATGCACATACACTCGAGGCACTGAAATCGTATTGTTTCGCCTCACGCGATCCCAACGACAGTGATACCTATTTCCCCCCTTCTTTTGATGAACAACTCGGTGTACTTTGGTTCTGTAATTGATATTCTCGAGGCTTACTCGGTACAAATTTTATTGCTGTGTATATTTTTCATAAATTCTGGTACGTAAAAAATAACATCGCGATCGTATAATTTGATAGCTCGAAACACGCAATCGAAATCAATAATGTACCGATTTGTTATTCATTTGCTACACATCATGCAAATATCTCGATCAAATGTTAATCCGGTCAATCTCGGGCCCGCAACAAAGAGAGACCCGATAAGAAAGTAATATCCCGCGTCTCCTAATTATGCACGCCTAAAAACTCGCGTTTTAGTATAATACGCCGCTCGGCATTAAATCGGTAGACGCTTGAGTGTCAAAAATGCCTTCCAACTCGTATCTTCTCTTTCAACTTCTTCTCCATCGATATTCCGACGAGGAATCTTAATGCGTTTATGAGAATTGACAGCCACTCCGGCGGATTAAAATAAACACATAAAAATCGGCTTCGCCCCATACCTACCGATATGAACGACGCGCATTACGCGCAACGGCTTCGTTGACTCTATCCGGTATGCATCTCCCCTATACCCCCCCCCCCGTATACCAATCAATCCCGACGTTTTTCCTAATTACCGGCGTACGCGGCAATTTACACGGGACATGAAGAAACAAGCAAGGAAAGCGTATAATAAGCAAAAGAGAAGATGTAAAAAAAAAAAAAAAATAATACGAAAGGAGTGAGGAGAGGAACAAGAAAGAAAACTACGTTATTAGTCGAGAGATAATGCTCGGATGCTCAGTGGCGAGAGAGCACTTTACGCGCCGGAAAATCCAAAAGAGAATCCGTGCCCCCCCATGGTATACCTATACATGCCCACACTCTTTTTTTTTTTTTTTGTTCCCTTCCTCGCATCAGCAAATGCACGCGCTGAGGATGATGATGGTATCGGCACGAGCCCCGTATCGTCGGCTATGCGTGTATACACTTAAGCAGTCCTATACTCTCTCTCTCCCTCTCGCGCTTCTTTTGTACAGCTACTTAAGAGATTGACACGACGAGATAGGATAATGGACCGGTGTACACCGGCCCAGGGGGGGACTCCAGAAATCGAGGGCCCTCTGCTTGATGCACACAACACGTGTTACCTGCTTTCTCCCTCTCTCCTCTCTCTTTTTTTTTTCTTCTTCTCCTTTTGGTACATTTTGACGGGACTATCGAGCATTTCTCTCTTAATGGGCGAGCCACCGCCGCCAATCACCGATCGCCGATAATGAAATATCTCGACCAAATGGACGCTCGACTTTTGATTTCTTCTTTGCCCCGTTGCCCCTCCCCCCCCCCCAACCCCCTTTTTTTCCATTTTTAACTCTGACGGATATACCTGCGCGGTGGATTCCTGCATTCTTTCGCTCGCGTAGGTATATACACTGATAAGCCGCGCGGTGTGTGCGGCCGCTCCTTTTGTCGTGGTGGGCTTTTAAAAGGTTTATTTTTGGGAGCCTCTGGAATCCGGCGATGACGACGATGATGCACGTGTTAATAATTTCGTTCCTATTAGGGATACACGAATAGTTTTCGGGGGAGTACAATATCGAGGAGAAGAAGAAAAGAAAAAAAAAGAGAGAGAGGTCGAAAAAAATTCTTCCTCCTTTTGCATTCCAACGGAAAAAAAAAAAAAATCTTCGCTACTGTTCGTACGACTATAGTTTCTTGGTAGGACTGCTTTTTTTTGCGTTATTTTGTAAACCACAGAATCGAGGTCGCGAAGCATTTTCGATTGGAGGAACCTTACACGCAACAATAGTAGTGGACAACAATCTTCGTGTCCACGGATTGGTAAGTGAATTTTACAGTGAGCACACCATGTTACGGAGCACCGGCAAATATGGCAGTGCTAAATACGTGTATATACACGCACATAATATAGGTGTGTACAAGTATACTATACAGGTGAGAGACGTAGAAGAGCCACAGCCAATGAATTAAGATAAGCGCGCCGTAGAATTGGCTGGAGATTACCATCGGTAGCGCTCGGGCACTTATTCGATTAAGCTTCCGTGTGTAGAGTGGCGAGCCGTTCCATACGCGTTGTATTATGTTTTTCGAGAGATAAATTATCGAGATGTATCCTGCGGCCGAGGGAATACGGGATTGTGCAAATTAGCGAGCGTTTAACCGGGGATTTGGCGCGTGAGAAGTCTTCGTATACGTGTATTTATACCGGCTCTCGGTGAGGATGTACCACTATCATTATTGTTATTATTGTTATGTGTTTTTAATTGAAAATGAATAATTTGTTGGTGGACGGTTGAAATTTACCATTGAATTATCGTGGTGATTTGGTGGGCCCAATGAATTTACGAGGGAATAAGACTTCGACA